TATATATATATATATATTAGCATTGAAAGCCACAGGTGAATATTATATCAATTTTAGAAGAGATAGTATGAATATCATATTAGTGTTCAAGGCAACAGAATAACTGTTATAGTAGGTTTAGATGCTATAGTACAGATATTATATCAGTTTAAAGATCACAGTCAGCCAAGCCTCCTGAGATCATGGCTGCAAAAGCCTCTGAGTGCCTGGACAGCTTAGCTGTCCAGGTGAAATCATTTCCTAGGCCTTTCTGTGCAAGCAGGGGGCCTCACTGGTCTCTTTTCAAAGGAATTTTTGCTTCTATAACCTTGAGCCTGAGATGGGGATGTTCTTGTCAATTCCTGAGATGCCATCAAGCCATCTTTCCTATTATCTGCAAGTATTTAGCATCTCCTTAGTGTTTGGATTGTCTTTAGCAACCACAACTTCCTTAGCCCCAGTTTTACTCATACTTTTCTGGCCAAATTGAAAGATATTCAAATTTTTCTGTTCAGGTTTATTATCCTGATTATCACAGTAAACTCGGATAAAAGTCAAGAAATATTCATGCCTGAATGCTGTGCTACCTTGAAACTTTCTTTACCAGATTAATTACTCCATCATCTTTAAATTTAGCTTCACAGGTAGTCTCAAACAGAGGCATAATGTAGACAACTTCTTAGCCAGTATGTAACAAAAATGGCCTATCCTCAGGGCAGATATTATGTTAGTTTTAGATGCTATCACATGAACATCATATTACTTTAAAAGCTATAAAGAGCAATTATATTAGTTTTAGATGTGATACTATAAGTGTTCTGTTAATATTGAAGGTCATAGGACAGCTATTATATTAGTATTAGAGGACACAGTATGGATATTATATTAATATTAAAGGCCACAAAGAAGCTATTTTATGAGTTTTACAAGCTACAGTATAGGACACAGAGAAGCTCTTATATTAGATTAAGATGTTATAGTACAGACTTTATGTTAATAATAAAGGACACAGGAAACATACTTTTAGATGCACTAGTATGAACATTACATAGGCAGTAAAGGCCATAGGGCAGTTCTTATATTAGTTTCAGATGGTGTGATAGGTATATATTAGTATGAAAGGCCACAGGTCTGTTTTTATATTAGTTTTAGACGGTATACTATGGATGTAATAATAGTATTAAAGGCCACAAGACATATATTATATTAGTTTAAGATGTAATAGTATGAATATTACATTAAGATAAAGACTACAAGGTAGACTTTTGGTATTTTTAGATGTTAAAGTATGGATATTACTTTAATGTTAAATACCATAGGGCATATATTTTATGAATTTAAGGTGCTATGTTATGGATATTACATTAGTATTCAAGGCCACAATGCAGTTTTATATTAGCTTTTGTTGGTATAGTATGAATATCATTTTGCTACAAAAAGCTACAGGCTATTATATTACCTTTGGATGACATAACTTGGATATCATATTAATGTTAAACGCAGTGGGGTGCTGCAGTCCGGCTGCAGCAAAATAACCGGAGGGTGACGAACAACTTGTGTAGATTGATACAGCAGGAGTGGGAGCCGTTTATTGTAGGACAACAGAGGTATTTATACATTCCACACAGATTATCTTAATTAACATAAATTAGATACAGCAGTCAACCAATAAGGAATCTCCACACTTAATGGCTCACTGGCGTTACTTCACAAACCACTCCCTCTGGCAAAATGCCAGGCGCCATCCTGACTTGTTTACAGACTCTAACAGTGGGGCAGCTATTATATTAGTTTTAAATGATATATCATGGGTATTATACAAATATTAAAGGCCAAGAGAAATTACTGTTTACTCTAGATGATCTTGTATGGGTATTAATATCAAAGGCTACAGGGCAACTAAAGTATTAGTTGTAAATGCTATACTATGGGTATTTTCTTATCATTAAAAGCCACAGTATATGTGCTATATCCGTTTTAAATGTTATACTATGGACATTACATTAGGAAGGGCAGATATTATTATATATAAAACTAATATAATAATAGTTTTATATGCACTGGTATTATGTAAAGGTTGTTTTTTAAAAAACTTGATTTGTCCATTATGTAAAAGACATGATGGATTTAACAACTTTAAAGAATCTATATTCCACTCTTAATCATACATTAAACACCTGAATATTTAGTTCATCACATCCACTCAGAAAATAAAGATTAATATATTCAGCACACTGAAAATAAAACAACCAGTCTCTCTTAATATATTTATTCTCTTTTCAAAAATGTTTTGGTCTCCTGCTATATCTCAGGAATGTACTAATAGCTGCTTTTAAGTTACAAAATACAAAATAACAATTTATTTCTTGGAGAGGATCTTGGATATTACCATCAAAAAATGAAATTTTGAGTTCCCATAGACTTTCTTTTTGTTAACAGTCTTTGAACTTTCTCATGGCACACATGTAAGGCTGCCTGTGACATGTGGTACCCTGGCCTCCAAATGGACATAATTGCATATATAGTTTATAGAGAAAATATAATGCAAGTTCTGAAAGTATCCTTCAAAGAAAGTGCCCTTTGTTTTGACAATAGAAACACCAAAAGCAAATTGGACTGTGCAATCAGAGCCATGAGTTTTATGAAAACTACTTTGCTTTCACATCTTTTGTGTTAGAGAATGGCACACCATAACATTATAATTGTGAAAAAACATTATTACATTCGTGATTTAACATTACCCAATAAAAGGTACATCTTCAAATATTGAAATAAGAAAATTTAAAAATAAAAATAGCAGAGAATATATTAAAAGTCAATCACTTAATTTGTATACCTTGAGAAAATAACAGTCTATTCCAGTTTCTTCAGAGGCTTGTAAGCTTTTTGTTTGGAGTGGTCAGGAAGTGTAGAACAACAAAACGGAAGACAGGACTTGGAAACAAGGCCAATACTAATTTAAAGGACTTACAACTTTCTTTTTTTGATGAGCCAGAAGTATTCTTTTATAATGTTAATGCAGGTCAGCATCTTATTATGAAAGAATACTTCTGGCTCAAAAGTGAAGGATGTTACAACCTGACTCTTCCTACTGATCTAGCACAATAGTTTCTTTCAGCAATAAGTGTATCAATCATTAAGTTCTAGTAAATTTTAAGCCACCAGAAATCTTTCAGCTATGATAAGTACTTAATTGTAATTACAAATTTCAGAGTCTGAATATTGGGGAAAAAAATCCAAGAAAAAAACTTTTTTGAGGGAATGCCTATGGTAGAGAAAATAATGTTATAAACCTATTTTATAAAATAGAATATCCCACTATACTTAAATCAATTTCACTGAAGGTATTTGAGATGGGTGAGAGGAAATCAATAGGATTTTCTGCTACTAGTGTAACATCTATGTGAAGAGTCATGGTGCTACTCCTAATGAAGAAAACACATTTCATGGGATTCCAACTTTAAAATCAAATCCTTGCACTTTCAAATTTTTAAACTCAATTCAAAATGAGTTAAGTTTTAAAGGACTTAGTCATATGGTCCCATTTATGAAAGCTAACAATGGTAATCTATAATAGTATAATACCCGAACTTGAAGAATAAAGATTTCATGGGTAAAAAGGAATATATGAAAATGTCTGCACCTGCTGAAGAGTAAGGATCCTTTATAGGACAACTCCCCTTCACTTCCTATCCCCCACTGTCCAGTGGCTTAAGCCAGAATATTTATTGAAGTATTGTCCTACAAGCTTATTTCTGACTGCCTCCAATCCTGCATATTTGGATTTAAGGACAAATGCTCTGTAGTATCATATCTCATTTTCTGTTGCTAACTGTCCTTGAGACTTGGCTTCCTTCCAGCCAGATCTCAGGTCAGCCTGAGTGGAACTGCTTGAACTTGAGGTTTAACTGATATAATGTCTATAGATATGACTTACGAGTGAAAATTAAGAAAGTTCCAAGCCCAATAAAATACCAATAACAGGAAACACACTTTTCTACCTGGGGGGAGGGGTTAGGGAGGGGGAATCTCTTCACAGTGAATAGCTTGAAAGAAACATGCAATATGGGCAAAAAGAGAAGGTGATGATCTTAATACACATCAAATATAATTTTTTTCAATGATATTTTCTAAGGAATTTAAGCTAAAAATGCAGTCATTAACATCAAGAGGTACAGGGGGACCTTGGGATTCCAAAATATCTTTGTTCTGGGGGAGCCTCTCATGTCACTTTCTTGTTTTTTAAACACTCTCTCAAATCCAACATTTGAATAAAATAACTTTTTTCTTCAATATAAAAATGAACTTTTTAGAAAAACAAATCAATTGGCACAGTGACCTTGTCTGTTTTACACTAAAGCCAACAGAATAATAAATCTATTAAAAAAACAATAAATCTGAAAGGAAAACTCAGAAAAGAATTTTTATTTCAGCCTAACTTGTATTTTTAACTGGAAAACTTTTATTTGCCTAACCACCTAAATTAATAAGAATGCTCAGTAATGTAACCCATGTATAATGCAGTATACAATATAATTCCTTTTAATTTGTACCTTAAAGTCACAAGGATAACATCTATGATAATTATAAAATTTACTCTACATTTTTGAGTTCTCAATCCAAATATATAGATTAGGACAGGTCACTTCATTGCTGGAAACATTAATGGAAGGACCAGTTTCCTCAGAAAGACAATAAGTTTGATTTGGAGTTGGGCAGTGTCCTATTCACATCAGCAGAATTAAAAGGAGTTAGGAGGCAATCCTTTCTTTCCTTTTAGAGTAGCAAAGGAACAACAGAAGATGGGCTGACTTGTGAGTGGCTCCACATTAGAGTGCATAGCTCATCAGGATCAAGGCTGGCATCTGTGAAAGTTAACTTCATAAGAGCACACTGTGGGCATTACAGGTTTTACCCTGGAGTATTTAAAAATACTTTATGCTCAATTGACAGCCTGCAAGTAACATTATGCATTCCTTCTCCTTGATTACCCAAGTATAAATCTAAAATAATAAGGGGGCTTATTCAGTCTGAAGGCAGAAACTCCTTGCAGCAGTGTTTCCAGAATTTCTCAAAAGTAAAGCAGCAGCTAATCTCTTTAGCTTCTTTGCTTTTCTACATTTCTTCTTCTTCACGTCTCATTTCCTCTAAGTCCTCCTGAATACCTAGTCTTAAACTCTTTGCTTCTTCATTCTGCTGCTCTTTCCAACTACTCTCCATGTAACATAAGGCATAATCACTTTCATCTTTGTGTTTTTTTCAGTCATAGCCAAAGATTTCTAGAATATGCTTGGATATTTCTTCCTAAGGTTCTCCTTCATCTTCAATGAAATCATCCATTTCAGAGTCATATTCATCATCATCATCATCATCTTCCTCCTCATATCCTCACTGCCTTTTATAACTAGTAGGGAAAGGAAGTCTTTGAGGAGCTTGGGCGGATCTGTAGCCAGAGAGAGGAGGTTTCATTCCATTTACCTGTCCATTGCTGGTTCGACTAATAATATTCTTGGAAGATACTATTTCTGAGACAACATTACACTTGGACTTTAAAGGGGACCTGGGCTACTAACTGTTCACCCAGGTCCTCAGCCACTTACTGGTCTTCCAGGGCCTGAACTAGTGTGTCCAGCTGGAATGGAGCCCCTTATGAATCGTCCAAGCCCACTGACTGATTGTCCAAGGGGTCCTGAGCCAGTCACCAGTTGTCAAAGGTCATGTGGACTGCTGGTAGGCTGCTTAGGGCCTCCAGAGCTGCCTACAAGTCTCCCAGAACTACCTGAGACACTGATGAGTCACCCGGGCCACTGGAACTACTTAGCAGGTGGTCCAGGGTCATTTGTATCAGTTACTGTCCGCCCAGAAGGATCTGAGTCACTGACTAGCTTCTTGATCCCACTGACCGAGCGCTCAGGTCCTGAGCTGGCGCTCCCATTCTGGCATCTAGGCACAAGGCCAGAATTAAGTATGGACCGAGCAGTCCCTGGGCTGGGTCTCCCAGGGGCTGAGTTGGGAGTTGCTGCCTAGCTGCCTGGCACCTGGACTCTTAGCCTTATTGTGTGGGGGTGACTGTGGGCCCAGGCTTGGAATGGCTAGGATGAAAAGTTTTGGCTTTGTGCTCAGTAGCAGATTTCTGAGTCCCACTGGCAGAAGTCTTTGGGACACTTGGTGAATAGGTGCAAGAGTGGGGCTTTATAGCTCCATTGAAAACAGGTCTGACATGACCCTCACAAAGTGAGGGGTGGGAACTATAGCCAGGTCCTGCCTTGGTCCTCTCTCCTGGCATGGATTTGGATGAAGACACTGATAAGTGTTTCTCATGGGCTGTTCTGGGTTCGGATTTCTTCTCAGTATGAGGAAAGGACATTCCTCTACAGGAAGGATGCCTATCTCCAGAACATTTGCTAAGTTTTGTGCCCACACTTTCTTTCTGAGAGGGTGCCTTTTTGGACACAGTTGGAGGTAGTTTTACATCTGTCTCAAGTTTCTTTTTCCTATGCTTTCATTCCAGAATTCTCACTCCCTAAGTTCTTCTGCAGTCATAAGCTGCTCTTCTGATTTCTTCACTACCTTGATCTCAGCCAGCCTCAGTAAATTGGTGAAGTTCATAGGTTGTGGAGCACTTTTAAGGGGAACCTTTGGTTTGCTTTCAACTTTGGGAGGTACTTGCTCTTTCTCATACTCCTGCTCTGACTCTGCTTGATTGTATTCTAAAAATCCATCCTCTTGTTCTAGCGCCTGGCTGAGGTGGCTTTCCACGGACTGCCTCTTCTTTGACTTTTCCTCAGTAGGAATCGCATTGTAACCATGGAAATTTTCCTTTGCCCTCTTAGACATAGCTCTCGCTTTCTTGTCATGTTTGAGCTCGATTGGTTTTTCCACTAGTTCCTCTTTTCTCCTTTTCTCTTCTAAGGTCTGATTTCCTCTTCTTTTCTTCTAAGAAAAGCTTGTACAGCTGCTGATTGAAAACCTTTAACTTTTGAATCTTTCTTGGGAGGTCCCACTGCTAAACTATATCTTGTTGGCACATTGTGGACACCTTGTCCTTTGGAAGCTATCAAGACAATTTCTCTGAAGTCCATGTTTGGCTGAGGAGCAGACACTGGGTCGAGCACTCGGAAAGGAGCAAAAGCACAACTTCTTGAGGCAGTCACTATGCTGAGGGCTCTGCCTCGGCAATCCTTTTCCCACCCCTCCCCCACATTATCAGTTTTTAAAGCTAAAATATGGATAGTATGTCAGTGTTGAGGGCCAAAAGGCAGCTGCTTTATCAGTTGGAATGCTATAATATGGAGTTCACATGAAAATTGAAGTCCATAGCATTGCTAATATCATTTTTACATGCTATAATATGGATGATATCTCAATATTAAAGGCCAAAAGGCAGCAATTTTATGTTTTTGATGTTATAATATGGATATCACGTTAGTTTTCAGATGGCAATTACAAGGCAGCCATCAGTTTGATGCTATAAAATGTATTACCTACATTTCTCTGATATAAGATGACTAACTCATAGTGGGGTAGGGAGAGGGAGCATGGGAGGAATAGACGAACTCTAGATAGGGCAGAGGGATGTGAGGGGAAGGGAGGGGGCAGGGGGTTAGCAATGATGGTGGAATGTGATAGACGTCATTATCCAAAGTACACATATGAAGACATGAATTGGTGTGAACATACTTTATATACAAACAGAGATATGAATATGTGTAATAAGAAGTGTGACGCATTCCACTGTCATGAATTTAAAAAATAAAAGCAATTTTAAAAATGGATTACCTACTGTATTGAAGGCTACAATGCATATGTTTTATTAGTCTTAAATGCCATTATTTGGCTAATTTATTAATATTAAAAGCCTTAGGGCAGCTGTAATATCAATTTGGTTTTCAAGTACAGATGTCATAGTAGTATTGATGTCATAGAGCAGTTATTATATAAGAACTGAAGCTCCAAACATTGATGTGGCTGTGTCCCTGTAGTATGCTGTTTTTAAGTCCTTTGGGTATAGACTGAGGAGTGTGATAACTGGGTCAAATGGTGGTCCCATTCCCAAGCTAGCCAATCCCAAAAAACCAAATGCCGAATGTTATCTCTGATTTAAGGATGCTGATTCATAATGTGGTTGGGGGGATTAGATGAATATGGAAGGATTAGATGAACTCTTGATAGGGCAAAGGGGAGGCAGGGAAACGGAGGGGGCATGGGGGTAGGAAAGACGGTGGAATGAGGTGGAAATCACTACCCTAAGTACATGTACGAAGACACGAATGGTGTGTCCTACTTTGTGTACAACCAGAGATATGTGCTTTATACGTGCAATATGAATTGTAATGCATTCTGCTGTCATATATAACAAATTAAAATTTAAAAAACATTGAAGATCCGTATGGCAATTATATTATTGCAAAAGCCTCTAGGGAGCAATTATATTAGTATTAAATATCATAGTTAATATAAAGGCCACACTGTATATATTAAGTAATTTCTTGATGCTGTACTATTAATATGACATTAATAACTAAACACCACAGGTACATAACACGGATATTGTTTTCAGTACAAAAGACCACAAGGCAGTCACATTATTTGTTTTTTAAGCTAAAATATGGATACTTATCAGTATTAAGGGCCACAAAGCAACAAGCTTATCTGTTTTTGAGGCTGTAATATGGATTTCATATGAGTATTAAAGTCCATAGGGCAGCAATAATACCATTTTTATGTGTCATAATTTGAATAACATCTCAGTATGAAAGGCCACAATCCAGCTATTTTGTGGGTTTTTGATGCTATTCTATGGATTTAACATTAGTACTAAAGACCACAGTCCTGTAAACAAATTGTTATTTTAGTACAAATGTCTATACGACATCTCTTTTCTTAGATTTGGATGCTATAACATGAATATTATATTAACATTAAAGGCCTGAGGGAAGCTATGGTATTAATTTCACTTGCTTCATATTGGTATCAAAGTACTACTACAACCAGGACAAGTTATTAAATTAGTTTTGCTTGCCAAAATATCAACACTACATCAATATCTAAGCTGCAGGGAATGTATTGTATTAGTTTAGATTCTGTAGTTAGGATATTGTATTAATATTAAAGACCACAAGAGAGCCATAATATATATATACATATATATATATAGTCACAATATGAATATTATATTAACACTATAGCCACATTCTAGCTATTACATTAGCTTACTGTACTGTAATATGGATATCATATTAGTATTAACCACAAGCTATAATATGGATATAATATTATATAATAGGTAAGGCCACAGAGTACCTATTATATTAGTATTAAATGCCATTATATTTATTATTGGTTATTATATTAGTTATTATATTAATATTAGTGACTAAGGTGTGGACCTTATATTAATATCAAACTCCACAAGGACGCTATTAAACTAGTATTAGATGCTTCAGTATGGATATTGTATTAGTATTAGAGGCCACAGTATAGACATTATATTAACATTAAAAACCATATGGCATCTGTTATATTAGTGTTCAAGGTCACTCTATGGACACTGTACTAGTATCAGAGACCACCTGTGGACCCACTGACATCAAAGGTCACTAGAGATAATGCATTAGCATTAGAGGCTGCATATGGATGACACATTGGCATTATCTCACCACCATATCCATATTATTATACAACCAGGTCTAGGAAGGTGGTGTGCACCCTCTGGTAGCTGCTGGAGCTCAGCACAGGATGACGTAGTTCAGCAGTGCATATGCACCCCAACCTCGCATTCCTAAAAAATAGATGAAATTCAATACTGAATTTAGTTTATTCAAGGCTATGATTTTGGAAATCCAAACTGAAATGAAATGCATTACCCATGATTTTCCAGATAGTGATGATTGAACAAGTTTTTTAAAACTATATTGTATGAAATTAACATATGCACAAACTGAAATTCCTACAAAAATTGACTCATAATAGCCCATAACTAAAATTTGAGAAAACTGAAAATTTTCTAGAAGGAAATAGAACAAAATCTATGTAATCTTAGATTTAGTGATAAGGGTGTGTGTATGTGTTCTGGTACTAGGGATCAAATACAGGCCCATACATATGCTGGACAAGCTCTTTAATACTGATCTACATCCCCAGTCCTTGGTGATGAGTTTTAACACACAATGCCAAAAGCTAATGGACAGAAGAAAAATATTGATAACATGGAATTTATAAAATTTAATTTTTACCAAGTGGGGTGTTGCGTGCCTATAATACCAGTTGCTCAAAAGACTGAGACAGGAGATTGAAACTTTGAGGCCAGACTGGAGTGGGTTGTAGCTCAGTTGTAGAACACTTGCCCAGCATGTATGAGGACCTAGGTTAAATCCCCAACACTACACACAAAAAATTAAATTTTTTATACTCCATGAGAAAGATATCAAAGACACAAGTCACAGACAGATACATTATTTACAAAACACATTTCTGAAATGGTATTTTTATTCAAAATATACAAAGAATTATTAAAAGCCAACAACTAAAAATTCAAATAAAATTGGTAAATATCTGAAAAGACATATGACCAAAGAAAATAGAAAGATGGCAAAAAGTTATTCAAAATGATGCTCAGCATTACGTATTATTAGAGAATCACAAATTAGAACAATAGTGAAGTAGCATGGCACAGCAATTAGAATTGCTACACTCTTAAGAAATGGCAATGCTTCAATAGCTGCAGTATACAAGACACCAGCACTTTCAGGCATTGCTGGGAGAACATGTGGCATAGCCATTTTGGAGGATAATGTGCCTGGTCTTTCCAAAGCAAAAGAAGTCTAATCTATGATCCAAAACCTTGCTTGTAAATTATCTGCATTTAAGCAAGTAATTTGAAAAAACATGTCCAAAAAAACCAGGATGTCATTATGCATAGCAGCTCTGCTGATGCCAATCACATCAAAAATCAGAATTTCCTTCCACAGCTGAATGCATAATCAACATAGAATAGAAAAAAATGAACCACGAACCCACACAGAGATACACATGAATCCTAGCTTGTGTGCTAAGTGAAATGAACCAGGCTGAAGAGGCTACATGCTGTATGGCCCACCTTTTATGACGTTCTAGAAAAGACAAAATTACAGTCAGGTGAGGATATGCACAAAATGAGACCCAGGAGAGTCCCTGTCCACATGGAGATGGGGGGCACCACTTCCCTGTGCATGGAAACTCAGAAACTCCATTAGTCACTTTTTAAAGAGAATTTGGTGGAGAGATGGGTGAAATCATATAGGTATGATGGGTTATTACCTCAGTCTTTAGGTTCTTTCCCTAAAATACAGGGTGGGGATTGAAAGTCCCAAGGTTTTAATCATTGTTTGGTCTTTCTCATGACCATCCTACAACCTGAAGCTGCCTTAGGGCCCACCAAAAGTCCTTATTAGAACAGGTCCTCCTCCCACCCAGGAGATTCTAGAGGATTTAGGAGTTCGGTGTAAGGAACCAAAGTCAAAGAACAAATGTTAAAGCAAAAAATTATTTTAATACCCTTATTATTTGGGGAATATGAGGGTTTTAGGATCTCTGCACCAGGAACTGAGGACAGAAACCAAACATGTGTTTCTTATTATGTCACAACCTGTAATATGGAACAATAATGAATTGATTGTTTATAATCAAACAATGAATTAATTAAATGGCAGAAACTAGGACCCAGGTTTCTCACTTCTGGGCAGATAAGCAAGGAGTGAAGGCAGAGTAATCTATGTTATCATGCATAAGAATCCAGTTTATACTGCAGATCAGTATAAACTCATGTTTATCTTAGTACAAACACAGATGGTTCCACATAAACATATTTGTAATGAGGGGGTGTAGATTATAACACACATATACTTTATTTTCATTGTCAGTTGTGAGGGTCAAGATGCAATGAGCACATTCAGCTTGAAAATTTTCATATCACTTTCTTTTTTTTAAAGAGAGAGAGAGAGAATTTTAATATTTTATTTTTTTTTTTAGTTTTCGGTGGACACAACATCTTTGTTTGTATGTGGTGCTGAGGATAGAACCCAGGCCACATGCATGCCAGGTG